GGGAACAAACCGCCGCTGCGGTCCGGCTGCAGCTCTCGGCCGGGGCCCTGACCCGGGGAGGGTGTCCTGGGGGCACCCCCTGCCCTCAGCCTCTGCCCGGGCAGGGTTTCCTCACGATGAGGGGGTCTTTGCCCCCCACCTCCCCTCACAACGGAGTGGTTTTGCCCTGTCATGGCTCCCCCCGTCCCCTCCCGTGCTGGAGGCACTGGGGCAGCCCATGAGTTACAGTGATCAGTCACAGGCCAAGGCTGGCTAAGAGAGCTTGCAGTTCAGGTCCTGAGCATGAGATGGGTCCTGGTGCCTCAGGATGTGACCACAGGCCAGTTGTCCAGGGTCTGAGTCTATAAGATGCTCCTGCACCGTTTCAGGCTGTCTTTGAGTGAACCAAGAAGGACATGTCACTTGTGAGGATCACACCCCTGCGATGTCTGTACACCAGCATCCTCCTCTGTACAAAGAGATCTTCTCACCAGTGTCTGTTGCTCAGGGTTGTGATGCTCCTGGAGGTCTTTGGTGAAAGGAGCCATCAAAACATGCAGAGACTTCAGACCAATTTGCTGCCTGTGCTGCATTCCAGACACTTGTGATGAGTCTGGCTGTGAGGAATTCAGCCTCTACACCCTGCTTACAGCAATTACACTGGAGTGACCTCTGTTTGCATGGAGAAGCAGCACTGTCACCCTCAGCATGTGGGGATGGTGTGACTAATGGAATGTGTCCTGAATGAACAACAGAGGTACGCAGGCAGCAGAGAAATAAAAAGCAGGGTTTGGAGGATTTCAGAGAGTTTTTGATAAGTGCTTTCCCAAGGGCAAGGTCTGGTGTTAAATGTCAGCTGAATATGTCACCCTCGGGGCCAAGCCAGTTTGCCAGCTCTTGTAAAGCAAAGTCTGTGCAAGTTTGTGTGAGTGAGACTTTGTAAGAAGGCGTTTAAACTCTGACTTTCTCTGCTGATACGTGCAGCTGTTAGTTTGGTTCTAGGGAGTTTCCTGTGGCCTGTCCGTCAGCAGGATTTCATTGCACATTTTGGACCATTGAGTTCATTTGACCTAATTTTTTATTTTTCCTTAGTGTCACCTTGGAGGAGTATGACCTCGCTGCCCCACTGACTGGCTGGAGATACTGGCTCATCTCCACTTCTGCCTACTCTGTGTACCCTACCTCGGTGTAACCCAGTGCGGGAAGAAAAGCAGCAGGCAGACCACAGAGAACTTTTTTTGTGCTTCACTGAACTAATTGTTGCTCATCCAAGAAAACAGGATGGATGAGAAGAAGTGGTTACCAAGTTACAGATAAGATGGTTCCAGCAGGGTCCAAGTCTCTTCTTTAAAGAGAAGTTCCAGCATCAAAGAGGCTGAAAAGCAAACACTCCAAATCAACCAAAATGGAAGGAGGCAACAGTCCAAACCTGCAACTTCAGCAACTCCCGTTGGCCACAGCAGCGGTTTCTGTGCAGCCACACACTGACTCCTTTTCTTACAAGGTCAGATTTCTACCCCAGTCTGTCCCTGGAAGGCTCCAGCTATCCCAGCAAGCTGATAATGCCGCTCTATGTTGGTTATTTTTTTGCAGGAGGGGCACTGGCTTTGTATTCAGCCGTGCCTGGAGGCGCCACTGTGTTATGTGCTGTGAATATAAGCAGTGAGATAAAGAGAGAGAAATTCTGTGTCTTAAAGAGCTAGACAATGTGAAAAAAGAACATTTGGCAGTACAGAGATCAGGTGGTTATATATCTAAAGGGGGTTATGTGCAGTAATTTGGTAACTGAGATCAGATGTTCTGGTCTGCTGTATGTTCAAGTGCTTCAGTTGCAGGTGGGTCATGCAGACAGCCTGCAGCTGAGATGGGACATGTTGCTGGAGTTCCTCCTTATTATCCAGCTGAGAATGGAGCTGTTCCCAAATTTCCTCTGAATCTCTTACTCAGAAGTGCTGAGAGAATCCCAGCAAGAAGGGCTTTTTTTTTTTTTTTCCACTAGATGAAGTGCTTTGCTGAGAACACGTTCCTGGGTGCCCTGTGAAAGCTGACCTGGCTGACATTGGCTTGCAGCTTCTCACAGTCCCGTAGCCAGTCCCAAACCTGCACTGCACTTCTGGGGCTTTTCAGCTGAGACACATGAAAATATCACGTGTCTTCTCAACTGGAGTCCAGTTGCTGAGCCAGTAAACTGTGCTGAGCTTCTGTGGCCACATCTGTGATCACACAGTGACAGTTTTCTGCCAATTTCACTGTCTGTTGTGGAAAAATCTCTCAGGTGTTTTTGAATGAAGCTGCTTGAGTGAATCTTATTTTTGTGCATCCTGATAAAGAGCTTCGTGTGCCACTGATAAGCATTTGAAACCTTGAAGTCCTTCTCTTACTATTTATGAGAAATTCAAGAATAGTATATTTACTGTTAAGGGAGGAATATAAATATGAGTTTACTTATCCCAAATCAATCCAAGCCAAGTACTCCACTGTATCTTGGAGACCTGCACTGAAGTGAAAAGTGCTAATGACATCTGATGAGATTTAGACAGTGATTGGAAGAACACAAATGCTAAATGGCCTCAGGCTCTTCTCTTCACTCCTAGTGTACGTTTCCTTTGTGACTCAGCCTGCTTTACATCCTTTTTTTTTTTAATTATTATTATTTCAAATCCTATCTTTAGACTGTGAGAATTATTGCTGAGCTGGGAATGCTCATGTCAAAATTGTTGGGAGCTTGCTAGGAGTTGCTACCAGTTGCCTATTAGTTTTGAATAACTGGTTTATATAAACAGCAGCATCAAATCTGTGATAATTGAGCTGCCTCATCAAATGGGCTAAACTACCTTCTGAACCAGCAGATGTTATAAGTGGAGAAGAGCAGAATAGTTCTTAAGATGTGAGCTGCAGAATGCAGAGGTTCCTGATCCATCCTCTGCTGAATTCCAGGGAAACCAACATCCTCATGAAAAGAGATTTTCAAAGGGAAGAATGAGTGACTGTGTTGTTGTGTTCAGCTTTATCTTCTTCCCCTCTGAGAAACTGTGAAGAATGCAAATATATGCATGCTCATTTAAGTCTCTTGTAGAAAGTGTCTGTTCAGGAAGGGTTATCTTTCACCTGACTTGCACAGGTTTGGAACAGAGCTGCAGGGAACTCACCTGAATTGCCCTAGATCATGTAGAAAGGGAGGAAGAGAAACAGGTATTTCTGTTGACAGGTGATGTAGGAACTGTTTTTAAAAGTCTGCTCTCTTCCAGGTTGTGCAAAAAGCTCCAACTTCCTCCAGCTCTAGTGGCTAAAGTTAATATCTCTGTGTTTCCTTTGTTTTTACAGGAGAACTTGATTGGTGCATTACTGGCTATTTTTGGGCATCTTGTTATCAGTATTGCACTCAACCTCCAAGTGAGTATCATGAAGCAAATATTGATCCTGCCTCAAGCACCCTGCATTAAACAAAGCATCAAGCATGCCAAACCTTCTTTGCCTTTATATTCTTTTCTAGAAATACAGCCACATCCGACTGGCAGGTTCCAAAGATCCCAGAGCCTACTTCAAAACCAAGACATGGTGGTGTGGACTGTTTCTGCTGGTACTGGGTGAACTGGGAGTGTTTTCCTCTTACGCCTTTGCTCCTCTTTCACTGATTGTGCCGCTCAGTGCAGTGTCTGTTATAGGTAAGGGGGAAAGAGACAACAGCTGTACAAGTCTGAGTGCATTTCAGTGTGAGATTGCTGATCATTGGACTGATACATAACTCAATTTCTCTCTTTTTTTTTTTTATTTCTAGCTAGTGCAATCATAGGAATTATATTTATTAAAGAAAAATGGAAGCCCAAGGATTTTTTGAGTAAGTTCCACAAATCCTTTTCATTTTTCCTCTCTATGAGTCATTCAACACATAGAGGAATGGCAAGATCTGCATTAGCTGTAGTATCTCTGTGAAGAAATGTGTCACCTCATCCACTGTTTGTTAAAAATGGAAACTTTTTTGTTTGTTTTTTTCTGATTTGTGCCAAATCACCTGAATCTCACAGATTTTAGAAATACAGGAGAATGGTGTTTGCTTGCACAATCTGAGAATCATGGTTCTTTGGGCTGAAGCTGCAGGCGAGGGCCTTGACTCTGCAGGAGCACAGGCACAACTGAATCAGCTGAATGTCAGACATGTGCAAGTGTTTGCAGAACTGCATTCCTGGGAGATGAGCTGTGGGCAGTGCCAGGCAGGATAAACTCTAGATCTAGAACTTGTAGCTCCTGTTTCTTTAGCAGATGCTAGCTGGTATCAACTTTTTTTTCTCAATTCACACATTGCCTGGAGTTTTTTTTGGTTCTAGTATTTTGAAAGTGGGGCATGAAGAGCAGAGGAATGAGTCAATCAAAGGAATGTGCATGATGTCATTAATGGTCACTGTGCATGTGTGATATTAATTCTGTGCATCCACACTAACCCCCTAACTTTGTCCTCTCTTTTTTGTGTGTCCTTTGGTTGCCAAAGGGCGCTATGTTTTGTCCTTTGTAGGCTGTGGTTTGGCAATTATTGGAACTTACCTGCTGATAACATTTGGACCTAATAGTCATGAGAAGATGACAGGAGAAAATATCACTAGGCATTTAGTGAGCTGGCCATTTCTGTTGTATATGGTAAGATGGCCCATAAAATGTGGGACAGTTTTCTGCTCTATGCCTGATTGGGAGTTTAATTTCAAGCATTATTTTTCCTTACAGTTACCAGCAATTTTCCTTGTCCTTGCTAATGAACCTATGGCAGCTTTTCCTGGTGTCAGTTCCACGTTGCATGTGGACACGTGCATGCACAATCTGGAACTCTTCCATCCTTTCTCTGAATTAATCTGTTAGGACTTAAATAACTTGAACTGAAAAGTTTGACAACAGCTTGCTCTCTCCCTGATAAGTCAGCTACAACGTGTGGCACTAGTACTGGTGACAGCTGAGAGCAACTGCTCCAGAGGTGTCCAAATAATGTGCTTACATCTGGGCTTTTTCTAGACTGACTTTCTCTGGAACCATCAGTCTGTCATTGAAAATCCTGTGAAATCTCTTGATTTTTAATGGAGATTGACCATTAAATAAGATGTGTGCTGCAGGGATCACTTAAAGAACCTCCTTATGGAGAGTAGGCTGAGATCTCTGATGTGAAGAGATCAGTCAGGATTATTTGATCTGCTGCTTTACAATGAATATATTGTTACAAGTGTCCCATGTTTCCTGTTCTGCAAGAAGCTATTGAATATCTCATCTAATTAGAATCTAAGATCATGCTAGATTTGATCTATGATTGTGTGGGATCCTCATTTTCCTTTGATTTGCCCTTTTGTGTAATTCTAATGTTTGACTGGCTCAGAATCCCGTTTATTGCCAACCCCACACACCCCACATCTTTTAACATTCTCTTTTCTACCCTTTGTAGCTTGTGGAGATCATCATATTCTGCCTGCTACTCTATTTTTACAAGGAGAAAAATGCAAACTACATTGTAGTTATTCTTTTACTGGTAGCTTTGCTGGGTAAGTTGATATGGACTTGTGTGATCTTCTAACTCTGGCTTGTAACAATAAACTACAGTAAACTGAGGAATCTGTGGTTTATAGGGAATTATATTAACCTAATTAATGTAATAAAATGTATCAATCTAGTCCAGAAATGCTGACAAAGCTAGTACCTTGCAGTGATGTTTAAGATCTTTGCAAATGACCTTTGAACAATTAAGATTTATTTCCCATAAGGACAAAAAAATCTGCCAAATACAGAAAGTGCAAGTTATTTATTAGTGTTCTTAATTTTAATCTGTGCATGCAAAGCATGGAGTGATATCTTATCTATCCAGTGGATAAGGAAGGCTGATTCGGTGGATGAAAGAGAGGATTTGACCTACAAGAATCTTCTTGGCTCTGGGAAGGTTTCCTGTGTGGCTAAAGAATTGATAAATACTCTGCCATGCCAGTGTGTCCCTGTTTAAATTGGGAGAGCCTCTGGGCGTGGGGTCAGATGATGGTTTTGATATCCTCAAAGCCTACAGTGGGATCCTGCAGGGACGTTGGAAAGGACAGGATTTCACTTGTACCTTTCTCCACATTAATATGTTGTTTTGTTGTGTTTTTTTTTTTTAAGAAACTGTGATCAATTAAACTTTAAAAAGGGTGAATAATAGTGAGACAGTGACGCAGTCTGACATGCTGTTGAATCTGTGTCACAGTCCTCAATTTTTTTGCTATTTATGCAACTTCAGTCACTGTAGTGTCTTGTCTTTTTTTTCTTTTTAACATTTGGGGCTGGATTTCAGTAACTGGTGCCTCAGAGGCTGCGTGAATCATAGACAAAGCAACTCTCCTAATTCTGAACGGCCCTGACTTGTGCTTTCAAGAAATTAAAAGGGAGTCTACTCTTTCTGATTCTTGTTTTGAAAACTTCCTTAGCTTTATTAACCAAACCAACATGGCATCAGAAACTTAAACTTGTGTCCTGCCATCATGTGATTGCACAACGCTGTTTAAACACTTAAAAAAAAAAAATCAGTAAGTGCTCCCAGTCCTGTGGAGAAGGGAACCATGATAGAGAAAGGTTAAATGATTTATTAAAGGTCACTGTAGTGAAGTTGTTGAGAAGAAAACTGGCAGAGTTGGGGATCAAATTTGCAGTTGGCACCCCTTGCTTGCCCTGGCAAAAGGAGTGTTCGAGTTCTTGTAGATCTTGGGTTTGTTTGCAGCTACATGTCGTGGACAGGGTGAATGCGCAGCGTTCCTGTCCCACTGAGCAGGTATCAGTGCTTCAGCAGAGTCTTGGTGATGGTTCGCAGGTTCCATGACTGTTGTGACCGTGAAGGCTGTGGCAGGCATGATCGTCGTCTCGATACAAGGAAACTTACAACTTGACTACCCGATATTTTATATCATGCTGGTCTGCATGATTGCTACAGCCATCTTTCAAGCAACGTAAGTTATTCCCTCTCTTTTTGTCTATAACTCTGCTGGTTTCAGTGGATTGCTAATTAGTGGGCTGTTTGTTATCCATTCCAAGAATGCTGATTAAATTTTAGGAGAAGAATTATCCATCCTCTTCTATGACCTGTCCTCAAATCCATCTCACAGGAGCCTGGGATAGTGGTGTTCTTTGCTTTTCCTTGTAGTGATGCTGCCAAGTAGTTTTAATCTCAAATTTTTATATCATTCAGGTATTTGCAAAATAATGTTAGGAATGAAATGGTGGCAAATTGAATACAGTATCTGTGCACTGGCTAAAATCAAAGTGCAGAATCAGTGTTGATGATGATGCATCTATTTTCTTTATTCCTCTGTATTTGTAATAACATCAAAAGCTGGTAGCAGCAGGGATAAAAAGCTACTCAAAATGTGAGTGACATTCTGGCCCTAAGTGGGGCCTAAAGGCAGTAATTTTGCTGCCTTTAGTCAGTACAGCTCTAAGTCTTATTCTTCTGTCACTTAGATTAATTCCAAGGGATGCTGCTGCAGGTTTAGTAAGAAAGAGAATAAAGTTTCCTAAATTTCTACATCGCTTTTGAAATCTGTTTCCAAAAAGGAGACCTGTACTAGTCCATGATAACTCTGTACAATTTGAGTATCCTTCTCAAATCAATCCCTGTTGTCTCTCATTGTATTGCAGGTTTTTAGCTCAAGCCTCACAGCTCTATGACTCATCTCAGATTGCCAGCATCAGCTACATCCTGTCCACAACGGTGGCAATCACAGCAGGTAACAGGGCACAAAACAGCCTGGTGGTCCTTCCTAAAAGAAGGGCAAAAGACTTTTTTAAAATAATCCTCACTTGTACACAAGGAAGGTGAATAATCAGCAAGATGATGACGTGTATTTTCTTGTCATCTCTCTTCTGCAGGTGGCTTTTGTTTCTTTTTTCTTTCCAAAAATGTGAATTATCCCATTAGACTGTGTTAAAATTTTCTGTAAAGTTCTGTCATTTTGTTTAAAGTGCGTGGGAACTTACATTTGAGACTGTATTACTCATACCATGCTAGTGTGTAGAAGAAGTGATGGCTGTTCATAGACGTGCAACTTGAATACAGAGCTAAAACATCTCCTTGTGTAATTTTATCTAGATTTTGTTAAAATGTGTGTGATATATGTACATCTATAAATGTGTATAAACATATTTGCTTCCTCTGTACAAAGGTGTTACAATTCTCTTCCCAATAGTCTTGTTTGCATTGTGTCTAGAACGCAGCTACTCACAGCTTTATAGTAATTGAATTTTTCTGAACAGTTTACTCCAGTTTCTGCCCTTGCCCACATAGGAAAAGTTTTGTCTACATGAACAAAGATGAGCATTTTGAACCCGTTAGGCTTCAGAGCTGACGAGCAGCCTTTTTAAGGCTTTGTTCTCATCAGTTAAAACATATGAGCTAAACTTGGGGGGGAAAAACCCAATGAAATAAACATAAAAACCTCCAAAACCTCAACACTGGAGGAAGTGCCTCTGCCTGACAGTGATGGGTACTGTCTGTGTAAATAGTAATGCTCTTCTAGGCATACAGGGGCTATAGCTCCCCCCTGTAAATGACACGTTGCCTTTTAATGCTCTTCAATGTCATGGGCAAGCATGGCCTACTCTTTGGCTCATGTTTATTTCTTGTCATGTTCCAAGTCATATGCTGCTCTCAGATTCATCAGGTTATTTATTTTACTTCAATTAGAAAAGTAAAGGATGTTAAAGTGGCAATTAGGCTGCCTTTTTCTGTTTTAAGATCATTAAAAAACCAAAGTACTGATCATAAAAATAGGAATCTTGACATGATGTGGGTTCTGGAGGGACTAGTGCTGGAGAGGGGGCATTAATTGTGCATGTAAGCTGGGAAGAAAGATGTCATTAATTATTTCCTTTTCAAGGAGCAACTTTTTACTTGGACTTCACCGGTGAAGATGTTCTCCATATATGTATGTTTGCACTAGGGTAAGTGTTTAAAGTTTCCTTGTTAGAAAACTGGAAAGTATTTCTTCATATGACCAAAGTTTTAAAAATACATCTCTCTCTCTCTCTCTCTCTCTCTCTCTCTCTCTGTGTCTTGGAGAGGAGGACAAACTGAAAGCACTTTGTCTGCGAGAGCAGCCAGTGGCCCATGGAGCTCAGTGTCTTGTCTGAGCGATGATGGATGCTCTAGAGGGACTGTATAACACTAGGTTGTGCATAATTGTACATTAAACACTAAATCCTGTACTGACTGTACTGGAGGTCCGTTTCTTAGGGCATGAGCACTCACACGATGCAGATATGATCAGTACAACGTTTGCTGTGTAGCTCAGGATTTAGTCCAAGTACAGTGTCTTGATATGATTAGCTCTCCGTAATCAGGGGACATTGTGAAATGTCTTTCAGATTAGTACAGAAAAAAAAAACCCAAACAATTGGGAAATGAGCATTATGAACTGTGCCTTTCTCTGTCAACATACAGTAAAACTCAGGATCGACAGTTGTTAGTGTGTTCACCTGTGGGAAACTTCTCAAAGGTCAGGACGTTAAATCTTGGAATTTCATCAAAGAAAACCAAATTTTGATATGCTTGCTTTCTCCTTTAGTTAGTCCAGCTTATTTAATTAATTAACATTCAAACTTTTCCTTGCATTTTGATAAAGAAAAGGTGAAACTGTTCTGATTGCTCTGTGGATTTCCATACTGTTGAAGAGGGTTATTCAGCTGAGACAGTTCCCTGTAATCCTGACTTCTTTTGCTTCCAGTTGAGTTCTTTATGGTGCTACATGACAGGCACTCAGAAGAAGCAACATGCAATATTGCATCCTCTCCTTTTTTGCAGTTATCTCAGTAGATCTTGTCTTCTTTCACAGGTGCCTCATAGCATTTCTAGGTGTTTTCTTGATCACAAGAAACAAGAAGAGATCTGTACCATTTGAACCTTACATATCAATGGATGCTATGCCAGGTAACAGTAAAAATACAGTGGTTTATCAGTCTTTCTCTTTTAAGTGTTGGGCTTCACAGTGAAAGCTCAAGCTGCCGGTTATGTTAAGAATCCAGATATATCAGGTGGTGGTTTCTAGTTTTTCCATCTCTTGTTTGTGCCTTGTGAGGAGTACATGCGTGTTTTGCATGGAACAGAGAAGAGGTGAGGTACCACTTGGATGTCACTTACTCTGGAGCCTCTGACACTGGGAGGGATGTCATATTAAGTCAGAACAGCTTTATCCAGTTGGCTGCTCTCTGGGAAGATGAACTAGCTTTGAGCTTATGCTTGGGACTGGGCTTGGTCTTCATCCATCAGGAAAACTGATTATTGGGGAAGGCTGAGATGTGTTGCAAGAGGTAGAGGCCAAGGGGGACATAAAACTTCTTTTGGGAAGTACAGCTAAACTCTCTGGTGAGCTGTGTAAAAGATAAATGACTGCCATCCCTCATTCACTTGGAACTTATTTCTCCATTAGTTGCTTTAGTGCTAAGCAGAAAAACATGATGTCTTTCATTTAACACTCGAGGAAGTGATGAGCCATGTTTATAATGTGCTGATTTAACCGAGTGCAGGAAGAATGCACTTTTGGTCCTAAGCATTTAATCTCTGTCTTTGCTCTTTTCAGGCATGCAGAACATGCACGATAAAGGGATTGCAGTTCAGCCTGACCTCAAAGCTTCTTTTTCCTATGGTGCCCTCGAGAACAATGACAACATGCCAGAAATTTATACTCCAGCTACGTTGCCTATCGTGCAGGAGCAACATGGCTCCAAAGGAATTTCTGCTCCACCCTACCGGGTGCTGGAACACAGCAAAAAGGAGTGAGTGACCTTTAAGGAACTGATTTGAATCGTCAGAAGTATGACCTTTATTTATTTACCCATTTAAAATATAAGCAAGTCTAAAGAAAACCTTGATATGGTTTAAAGCTCATCTCAAACTTAACTTTCAAGGCTGATTGTTAAAATAAACAACTCTCTATAGTCGTGGGAAGAGAAGTGCAATTTTTAGTCCTGCTGGGAGTGGGTTTATCTCCAAATAGAAGTTTTTTAGGAGTTGCTCACAGAGAGAGGAGGGCAGGATTTCATCTTTCATATATAGACTGTGACAGATTGCCAGAAAAGTTGTAAATCCTCATGTCTCTAACGTGACCACCAAACTACCTTAACACGGCAATAAAATGTCATTGCTTTTGAGCACGAATACTGAAACTTACTGTGTCTTTAGAACAGCTTAATTGGTTAGAGTAAGCAAACTACTTTATTCCTTCAAAACATGAATCTTGGGCACTTCCTGTACAACTATTCTCTTGTTAATGTTGAACATCCGTACTGGGTACGTGAATTGTTTCTCTAGCACCATTGGATTATGTGGCAGCTTAGAACAAAGATTGTTTCCCAGTTTTCTGGTTTCATAGCAGGAGCTTCAAGTTGGATTCAGTGGTGCAGAAGGAACACTGGAAAGTAGGAGAACAAGAAGAAATGAGAATAGTAACATGACTGGTATCTGGTGGGAAATTTTTGTAGTTCTTGAGATCTTAATTCTCTATCACTTTTCTTTTCTTTCTGGTTGAGGCAGGATTTCCAACTTTTTTTAGCAGTCTTAAATGCTTAAAATGTTGATGTTCCTTAGTTAAAAAACTCAGTCTAGGTGTTGTAGGCTGGGGTCCCCTCCCCTTTTTTAATCTTTAAAAAAATGAGCAAAAAAAGGTACTAGTCTAATACTGTGAATGACCTAAGAAGCGTGCACAGTCCAGCACTCCTGGGGACTGTAAGAATAATGGAGCATTGTGTACTCACGATATTTATCTCTCCAGCTTCCAAGAGATGGCTAGAAGCTGATAAGAAGGGAGAATAGACACAAGGGGGAGAAACTTATCAAGTGAAAAGGACAAAGTACATTTACTGGCATATGCAAGTTACACTGGCACTTTGGTATCATTGTCTTCTCTAAAAGTAGTTGTTTTGCTGGGAAACAGGATTTTAAGTCTGTTTGGTGTGTCTTGGACTGTATGCATAGTGGAGTGTCTCCAGGACCTGAGAAGACTTTATTTGAAATTAATAGTGCTTGTGTTCCATGTGTTTTTTAAGTGGTTTCTCTGATACCAAGAGGTTTGGGGAGGATCTTGGACTTGCAACAGTGACTTCCTGCATTTATTTATTTTTTTCTGTAATTGACTCATGGCCAGTTTTTGTTCCCACTACCAAAAATTCCCAAGAACTCCACTGACTTGTATATAGTTATTCCAGATTCTTGCTATTGTATACGACAACCGAGCTGTTCTTTTGCATATGTTTGCCTTGCCAGCTATAAATACTAAATTCAATCTGGAAATACTTGAGATTGCTTTGGCATTTTTGTGCAGCTTAGGAAAATTATAACCTTCCCCCCTGCAAGGAGTAGATGCCTCGTGGCTGTACGTGTACCTATATGTGAAGTTTCTTCACCAACTTGGCATGTCTGACAATTCAGATCTAATCAGAGGCATCCTGTACACAACAGCTTATGAAACCTCAAGAAATAACAGCTTTTCTTTTACCTTCAATACTTTTTGTGTTTAAGTAAGATAACAATGTTAATGGGCTAATACTGCCGGGACATTAATCTTCTTGGAGTTGCAGTGACACTGATTTACTGCCTTGGGCTTTGTATCCCCAGTAATCAATTGTTTGTGAATTTATGTGCAGCTTTTGTTCTTTAATGATACAAAACAAAAATGATACAGGAGAGGCTGAATGGGAAAGGTTCAAGAATGCTGGCTTTTCTTATCTCTTTTCTTTTAATCAATGAGGCAGTAGCTGTTTTGACCTATTAGTTCTGAAACCACAGAAACATACTGTTTTAAAAGAAGCTGCGCTAAACCACGCGTAGCTACAAACTCCACTTTTTACATGGCAATATTCTCTGTGTTTAATTATTACAGGTGTTGCTGTGGTATAAAATAATGAATCAGAAGCACCAAAATGTTTTGTTGTTGACTTCTACTATTAGGATGGTCCCATGGGTAACAGAACATAGTTCTCTCAAGTTTTTCAGTAGAATTTAAGAACTGCTGCTGACTGGTGTGCAGGCTTTGTAGCCAGTAAACGGCCTGTTAGGTTTTTCTCCTAATAATGAGACCTGATCTCATGAGAGACAGACACAGAGTGCTTTGCCAGGGGGAAAGAGCTACTCTCATGCGGAGCCCTTGCTTGTACTTCTCTTTTGTGGGTTGCTCTCTGGCCCGATTCAGTGATTTTTTTTTTGCACTAAGCTGTCTGGATTCTCGACAGCCCTGCAGCCTGAGCACTGACTGACTCCTGGCCTGACCTTCCTCTCTGCCCAAGAGTCCCCAGTTGTCAGCACATGGCTGTCTTCTGCTCTGAGTGAAATTTCCTCCAGCCATAACCTCAGCTTTTGTATTATTGTGCTATTTTGTCCTTTTTCTTTCAAAGACTCTAAAGGCAAGAGTCTTGCTCCAAAGCTTTATATAACCATGTTTTATTTACACAGTCTCTGTGTGTTTAAATAATTCTACTTAATAATGACAGTTCCCTTTACCTGCAGCGAGACTTGCTTTTGGAAACTGCCTGACAAAGGACTCCAAGGGAGGTGATGTCTGTTTTTACAGCACATAAATCACAATATTTTTCTTTATTTACTCCATTGTGCCACAGCAGTAGAGCCCGAGCTGTTCCTTGGGCTGTAGACTTCAGCTCAACGCTCTGCTGTTGTAAGGGTTGCATTTTTGGCAGTCTGTGTCAGCCAACGAGTTTTAAGAGAGTTTATGTATTTGCCACCTTACAATAACAGTACACACGGTGGTAGGACTGCCAGACTGCCCCTCGCTCCTGCTTACTGCCTATGTTCAACACTTGAATTTTAAAATTTCAGGGTTTTTTATATTTTATGCACTTCTCCCTTTTTTTGCCTTTTCTCCCAAGCTTCCAAGATTTTATTTTCTGCTTTTCAGTCTTACAGCTGCCATCTCTGTTGCTGAGAAGGTATGAAAAGGGCTCCTAAAAGCCAAAAACATCTGTTTAAACTGACTGTAGGACTTGTGCGCTCTTTCTAACAGTGGGAGGGTATAGCTCAGGATTGAAATAAACTCCCTATCTCCTGTCTAGTTCAGAGCTTACAGGCTGAAAAAAAAAGTAAAGTTATTTGTAGCCTCAGGTCTATACTTTTTACAGAGTATTGGAGGGTATAGCTCAGGATTGAAATAAACTCCTTGTCTCCTGTCTAGTTCAGAGTTTACAGGCTGAAAAAAAAATAAAGCTATTTGTACCCTCAAGTCTGTACTTTTTACAGAGTATCTGTTAGTCTGAGGTGACAATGGCCATGCCTGGGATTGCAGCAAACATTTACAGCTAAATAGCACATGAAGATTTGAAGGAGAGGAGCCCCATGCCATGTTCTAGTCCTTCTTGCAGGGTGGCAAATAATCTGTTGGTGTACAGCACACTTCAGCTTGTGTATGTCAGAACTTCAGTGCATCCAGGGCTGATCCTGAGGGAGGCAGGGCACTGTCAACAGCAGAGCAGGCTTAGATTTCCAAACGTGCAGCATTCAGCATTGAGAGCTGAAAAAGTGTGCACAAAAATCAACTGACTGCTGTCTCCTTCACTAAAGTGGTAGAATAGCTCCTTGATTCTCTCTCTGTCTCTCTCTCTCTCTCTCCCCCAGCTTCTTTATCAAATGTGAACTGACATCTATTGCCTCCACACTGTGTGGCTTTTTAATGCACCAGAGCACTTAATACCTTCTCAGTGTCTTTCTTAGGTGTAACTTAATGCTGTGGAATACGGCTCCTCTGTTGGCTGAATGTACAAAGTGATCTGCCTACAATGTTCTCTTGTTCACGTTACAATGTGTAAATAAATCAAGCTTTACAGTATTGGACTATAGGAATAACTGCTTAATTTTTCATAAGCAATGTTGCATGTCTATTTAATTCTATTTGTCTTTTAGGTGAGACCTTTGGAAATGAAACTTAATAAAAGATTATGGTAAAACCTATAGAATTCTGGCCTGCTCCACGCTCTTGGTATAGCTTTAGTTGCCATAAATATCTTGAGAGAAGTTAAGACAGAATTTAGTTTGCTACTGTAAGTACTATGTACATTTAAATAACTCTCTTTTCTTAGCAGGATACTTGTAAATGAAATGCAGATTGCTACAACTCATGTTTGGGGCTGCAGCATTACTAATGCTCACCATTTTACATGAGTCTCCAAGTATCTGGTGTCAGCTTTAGGAATCATGCAATTTACTTTAAAATCTTAGTATTACAGGGCTTAAAAAAATATATCTTAGCATTCATTATTTCAAGGAAGAGCTTGAAAACGTGACCTAAGTATAGCATAAAGGGGGTGGGAGATGACACAAGATGAGCCAAATCACTAAACCTAAAAGCATTATATTATTGGTGGCCTGACTCATGATTTTTGTGTGCCTGCCAACTCAATACTGAAATGGAGACAACAGCACGCTTCTCTGAGACAGCAAAGACCTCTAATAGTAGTTGGGAACACTACACTGTAGGAGATGCCATCCTTCAGATCCAGGATATCATGTCTTTGATTGCAGAAGCAGACGGCTTAAGGGCATTTCCTAACGATGCCATTATGAAATACAGACAGTCATAAATTTAGAATACCGGCAATGTAGTTTAATCGAATGCTTGCCAACCTAATTAACACTCACCATATGGGTTTTAGTCCAGGGGGATAAGCAGAAGATAACCCTCAGGATACTCTTAATTAAATGTATCTCTTGGGGTCCCAAACCACAAATGGAAAAAAAAAAAAAAAAAGAGCAGTGTTATCCACTTTGCTGTTAAATCT